ACTAGGGGGGTCCGGGGGGCGTGTATTTTTACCGTACGACTAATTAATGCGTAAAATCGCCACCACACCATAGACGGTATTTGGGGTTCTTGTATATATAAGATAGCCGAGTCGGTGTGCAGTTAGTTACAGGTTAACTTGTCTACTGTCTGCAGTGCATGCGTGGTACGGTAAAAATACACGCGTCGGGTGTCCTGGTCGAACGGCAATTCTTGACGGTCGATTCCCGCGCTGGCAAACTTTTATTGTGGTGGAATTTAAACGGGGCGGAGGTAATTCAAACGGGGCGCAACGATTCAAACAGGGGGGAGTTTTCCCAAACGGGGGGCGCGCGCGCCCCGTTTGCGCAACGTAGGGAGAACCCTGCCAGGGTACGTTCCGGCAGTACCCCGGGGGACATAGACCCTCTCAGCAGTACTAACATTAATAGAGTAAAAGTACTATTAGCCACAAGTTACCTTCGGAGTCTCGCTTCTCACTAATAAGTACAAGTGTGTATTATATGGCATGCAGCGAGGTTTTTTGAGATTTGAAAAGGAAGAAATTCGAACAAGGCAGCCATTACTGTTTGAATTCTGCATGATTTCCCTGCACTCTCGTCAGTTCTCGCGCATGCACATTAATGCAAGTATGGAGTTTGCCAACTTTCCAAATTGTCTGATTATAACATGAATACCTAAGCAAATACCAGTTAAGAAGTCTGCCATGTGTTAGATGACACTTCAACGTGTAACAAGTTAGGTCAAATGTGGTAATGCGATTATTTTAATTACGAAATTCGACGTGTTTTTAAGCTACAAGGTTTTTTCATATGAAAGGGTGACATGCTCCTACGCCGTGTAAGAGTCATAAAACCTGTTCCATAGGCACCTGGAACGTTTCAATAGTAAAATGCTAGTAAATAAGCACGAAATGTATTTACTACCGATCTTAATGTTTTTCTTCTCTCTTTGGCCTATTATTGCTGATAATTTCCTGAAAATGCCGTTCAAATGGTCCTCTGCAACACACAAGTACACCGCACACATGCCGCTATGCATGAACAACAAAATTATAGAGCAGGTGGAAAAGCGTGATCACAAAATTTGCACGACACTAGCTTCATTTCTCAATATCAGAGCACAAATCCACCAACAACAGTCTCCATTTTGGTATCTATGCCTAGCTAAATGTTTACTTATATTAAAAATATAACTATGCCTTTTGGTACTGCCTACTCCAGCCATAGATTTCGCGAATTCCTGCAGAAAACTCCCATTCCACCAAAATGTAAATGGAGAAAGTATATGGAGGAACCTCTTGTGGGGTTACATTCATTAGTCGTGGCATTACGGTTATTGACATTGTATCTAGTGCACTGCCTGCAGTGTACTGTACTTGTGTTGCAGAGGAGTATTTGAACGACATTTACAGGAAATTATCAGCAATAATAGGCAAAAGGCAGTAGAGAAACATTAAGACTTTGGTAGTAAATACATTTCGTATTCACTTAATTAGTAAATTACCTTCATAATATTGACACGATCCAAACTGTGGCCTGGTCCGGTCGGGCTAGTAGTGCTGAAGGGGTCGTTGTCGTATCAGGTACTACAGATATGTACCCGAGGTACATATATCATATGTATACACAAAGTGTACCAGACTTGTACTACAGAAGTGTACCCTTACCCTAGACCGAATAATTCAGTCCCATATAACCTTTTTTATATTTTGGTGAGGGTTATATTGGGACAGAACGGTGTTCATTGAACTTTCGTGAGATCGCATGCAAAATGCATGCGCTGAGAATGCGGCCCGTACGCCGCTATTGCCGCAAAAAAAAAACTACCGTTCCCTTCTACATGACTTTACCTTGCTACAGATATGTGTATGTACATTCACTTCAATCATTATTCACTTCTTAAAAGATTGTTTTCAGAAACCGGCTTCATTCCACTTTCATAAAAAACATTCGCCATTTACAAACAATCAGACCAATCAGAGCGAGTCTATCAGCCCTCCTGCAGTGCTGCAGAGCCTGCAGCGCCACAAGCGAGAACCAGGCTATTGTAACACTCGCTCTGATTGGTCTGATTGTTTGAAAATGGCGAATATGTTATTTACGAAAGTGGAATGAAGCGGGTTTCTGAAAAACAATCTTTTAAGAAGTGAATAATGATTGAAGTAAATGTATACACATATCTGTAGCAAGGTAAAGTCATGTAGAAGGGAACGGTAAGGTTTTTTTCGCGCCAATAGCGGCGTACGGGCCGCATTCTCAGCGCATGCATTTTGCATGCGATCTCACGAAATTTCAATGAACCCCGTTCTGTCCCAATATAACCCTCACCAAAATATAAAAAAGGTTATATGGGACAGAATTATTCGGTCTACCCTAACCCTAGCCCTCACATAAAAATATAAACAATATTAAACAACCTAAAACTACCTCGGGTACATATCTGTACTGTAGTAGCCTACCTGAGGCTGATACGACAACGACCCCATCTGCGCTAGTACTACTACTACTACTAGTCTACTACTACTAGTACTAGTAGTACTAGCAGGAGTAAGATAATATAGGATCCTATATTATATAGGATCCTATATTATCTTACTCCTGGTACTAGTAGTAGTAGTACTATTAGTACATTACCAAAGCTGCTACATGTATAAACATGTACGTGATATGGAACCACACCACTTAGTGTCTTAATTCTTATCTGCGTTTTAGATTAACTTCATTGTTTAATACCTTTTTGGTGGTTTACTTGTTTTTCTCGTCTTTACCGCGTTGCGCATGGTGGCTGACATATTGTCTTGTGCGGGGCGCCAATGCTACAGAACGGCGGCTTGGCGAACTAGTAACCATATGCCATCTCTCCGTCTCCGACGGTCTCAAACGTCAGAAAGGACAGACAGCACTTGTAAGGATGTTTTTTTCAGGAGCTGGCAAGCGCTTTAGATAAAGGAAAATGTAGAAAAAAACCAAAGACAAGTTTTATCGAACTCAAACGTGATCCCATTACTAGACGACGAATTTACCACACGACATATCGCCCCAGCAAATCAAGCGCTGCTACCGCTTCGACTTCTATTAGAGTAGCGTTTTAAACTTAACTTTCGTAAATAGGGGGGTACACTCTTAAAAATTAACAGAGGTCTTCTTCAGGGTGTTGTCTAATAATTTCTAACAAGAAGTATGTCATTTGTTGTCAGAAAGGCGGGACAAAACGTCGTTTAACCGAGGGTACTCACCATGATCACTGTTCTTTGGGATCTCTTCAATTTTTGAAATTAGACCACCTCAGACGCGTTTTCTGCGCGAGCAGGGGGGGGGGGTCCGGACCCCCCTGTACACGCCTCTGGGAACTGTAGACTCTGATACCGTCTGCGCTTGCACTGACGGGTGGGGTCCAAGGGGTAGATTCATGATTCATCAAGCTGCGTACGCAAAATATTTTGCGTAAATCTTGTGTACGCAATCGACGTTGATTAGTTGCGATTCATCAACACAGCTATTTAGTAAATTTTCGTACGATTTCGCGTACGCAAGCGAGGCCGTTTTAGGTGCGATTCATCAAGCTAAAATTTCACATATAAGACATTGGTATATTTTTTACAGACGAGCTGAATCGAAGTGGGCCTAGTAAACCACTCGAAAATTTCCGGCAGGTGTTTCCAGGCATAACGCCGCAGCATGCATTATTTATTAGAAAACATTAAAATTACTACACTCAAACTAAAATAAATAAATAATTACATACTACAACAGACAGCGGCGCCTTTGACGCTTTTTTGTCAAGCTTGGCATTTGTTTTGTTTATAAGCGACAGTTCGTAGTTAGCAGTGTACAGGGGCACACGCACGCACGTTGTAACGTGCACAGCACGCGACACGTGTACGTACACGGCGCCGCACGACACGCCGTGTACGTACGCACGCCCGCCAGACCGTAACGCCAACGCACGCACGTGTACGTGACACGCATCGCGGTCACGGTCACGGTGCGTTACACGAGCACGGTACGGGCACGCACGAGTGTAACGTCACAACGCACGCACGAACGACGTGTACGAGCACACGCACGCACGCCACTGCGTGTTGTCCTGTGCTTTCAATCGAGTGTTGAACAGCAATCATACAATACGAAAAACTGAGGGCAACTATGCACATCACCCGTACAGCACTCCTGTAGACAGGACTAGGCCTATGGGTTTACAAACAAGAGAGGCGTCTCAGTTTTTGGTTCCTGATGGTATGTGTCGCAGCAGTGTGAGTTGTTTTATGCGTAGGCACGCCGCCTCACCAGCCAAGCAGGCTACGTGGCGTAGTGGATTTACAGCGGAATTCATCAACATTTGCGCGACGCAGTGCGTACGCTGGCGTTGATGAATCGCACCTACGAGCTTTGCGTACGCTACTTTGTTAGAAACTCTGTGTACTCAATACACTGCGCAACGTTGAGTAGAATCCGGCCCCAGGGGCCCGCTTAAGTGCCGCTGGCGGGGTCGCAGCGGGCCAGAGCCCTGGCAAGGGGTCCGGGGAAGCTCTCAGAGTTAGCTAATCAAAGCTCCTAAATTGCTGACAAAAAAATTGTGCAGGGGAACGGCAAGGAGCAACATATAACATATGAGATGAACCCGGGGGGGGGGAGACTCACAAATTATGGTAGGTTCTGGTATGTTTGCCTACTGCAAAGTGTTAGAATAATGGGGGGGGGGGCTTCTGGAACTAAGCAAGACGCTGCAAATGGTGGTCTCCTGGAGCTGGTTTTCTGGAAACTGGTCTGCTGGTCACTGGTCTATGTTTCGAAACTGGGGGTCTCCGGAACTACTAAGATTTCGTTGAAATTCAGTGCTTGAAACTGGAACAAGCGTCCTCTTAATAACAGGGGTCTTCCGGATACTGTGGGGGGAACAGTGATTTGGCTTTAAATACATGCTGTAGGCTAGGCACTTGAACGGCAAATAATTGTTTTAGTGTAGTAGGAGGAGAGAAAGCCATGACCCGGAGAGAGTGAACGCACGCACACACACACCCACACACACACACGGATGAGCACCAACTAACTAAAGCTTGAGCACAGAGGCCAGTGTACGGAGAGAGCATAGCTATCAGCGCTTGCGCATATCGCCATACGCCATAAGACTTCGAACTAGCAGCGAACACACGAATAACCGTCACCGATATAGCCAGCGTACATGTATGCCGAATCGCCGCGGGTCAGTCTAGCAGCAGCGCTGTGGCTGACTCGCTCGTAGGACACGCCGCGGTAGAGTAATCAATGCGCGTACACATCACACAGCACCACACGAACGGAGCCGCTAGCGGCACGCACGGCACCGCACGCACGCACACACATCACCACACACACAGGGCGGCACACACCAACCACGAACACAACACACACAGGCCACGCTAACTGTGACACGAACGCACAGACCCGCAACGCATAACTCCGCCTCTACTCGTGGGCGCGAAGGTAAAGATAAGGATAGCATGTAAGAGTATTAATTGACGGTCAGTCGCGTGAACGTTGAAAGAATAATTTATAAGTTGTTAACACTTAACACCCTCAAGTGTGCCTACCTTTCCGCCGGGAAACAGCATCATCGACAAATGATGGTCCCAACTTGGGACTCCCAAGGAAATAACACCTTGACATCGATTATCAAATTAAGCACAGGTTTTATATGGATTGAATTTCGACACTTAATTTTTCGATTTTTCGATGAAAGTGGTCCAGCTTGTAGGCTACATCACTCATTTTTTGCGATCCCCCTATTATTTGCAAGAATCTTCTTCTTCTTTACCTTTTCTTGCAAATGATGGGGGGGGGGTGACCCCCCACCCCACCCATCATTTGCAAGACATTTGCAAGATGTTTCTTTTTCTTTTTCTTCTTCTCCTTTTCCTTTTTCTTTTTCTTTTTCTTTTTTCTTTCCTTTTTCTTTTTCTTCTTCTTCTTCTTTCCTTTTTCTTGCAAATGATAGGGGGGCGACCGCCCGCCCCTGCTCTTCATAACATTCAACATTTGTTGATTTTGTGTACGTTTAAATTGTGATGTTGCATACCAGTTAGTTTATTTATTTACTTATATATTTTTTATGCTCTTGAGTTATTGTTTGTTGAAATTAAGTTTTATTATGCTAAGCTATTTGACTGATCATACCTGTTCTCCTTTGCGTAATCACCATGTATCTTTCATTATGTTAAACTCATGTATCCATATAACAGCCATCATATATGTAATAATATCACATTTAAGGAGTGGCTGACTCGAAGTCTTCACAGTCAACTCGCCCTCCTACGCAATTCTTAAACTAATATAACCAGCTATATTATGTATGTATATTGTAATACGTGAATAAACATTTTTCAATTGAATTGAATTGAATTGAATTGAATTGTTTTGACTGTTTCTCACGATTTCAACGCTCGCGTATTTCACGCAATTTCACTTACAATCCGTCTGCTACGGCCTTCACACTGCTCTTCGTATTTGCGCGCGCACTTCTTTTTAGCCCCCGATTTAGGAGTGGGCAGAGTGGACAGCTGCCCACGGGCCTCCACAAACCAGGGGCCTCCACATATTTGATTTAGAAAAGAAATTGTTAACACGTTCCCCGCGGATCCACGAGTCAGCTCGTGGGAACAATCAAAACGCATTCCCGCGGATCCACGAGTCAGCTCGTGGATAGATTATTGGTTTTTGGACCAAGTTGGTATTGACCACTAATAAGACCACCATTGTATTTAGGCTACCTAGTTGGACAAGCAGCAGCTGAATGCTGTAAAACAGCTGTGGCATTTTTTGACTTCCTCGAGGCAATTTATGTGTTCTTCACATTTTCGACACATCGTTATGAAATTCTTACAGACTTACTGAAGACTGTGAAATCTGGTCCTGTATCTGTGAAAAGATGGTTTCTACAACACGATCGGTCATGTCGATCATATGCAGTAAAAACACTCGTCCAAGGCTATCACCCAATCCGGGAAGCACTTGTCAAAATAGCAAGCAATAATGATAAGATGACAAAAGCACGTTCTGAGCCAAATGGTCTCCATGACAGGATGTGCAAACGAGAGACTGGCATCTATGAGGTTTTTTGGTGTGACATTCTTGACAGAGTTAATGCCACAAGTCACATGGTGCAAGATCCAAAATTTCATCTGAACACAGCAGTAGCATTGTTGAAGTCCTTGAAATGTTTTGTACATGAAAAACGAGTCCTTTCATGTCTATGAGGAGAAGGGAAAGGAGCTCTCTGGAACTGATGATTATGTGCAGACACGCAATCGTCAACAAAATGTGCGCCTCAATCCATTGGATTATGGACTATCAGAAGAAGCTGCACTCTCGCTGTCTGAAAAATTTCGAGTTTAGAATTTTCTTCCAGTAATTGATCAGTTTATGAGTTTATGAGTTTATGATTGGAAGCCTATGAGAACACATGTTCTCTGTTAGGTTTCTTGTCTATCCTGGACTCACTAGACTGTGCTGAAATCGAAGGATGATATAGATCAAACACTTGGAGTTGAACTTGTGCAGTTTGCAGCCTTCTTCACTCATTTTTCTTGAAGATGGAGATGATAAGATCAAGATGGGTAGAAAACATTTCCTTTACAAACAGTTGATGGACAAGAAAGTTGTGGATACATTTCCAATTGTTGAGATAATGCTACGGATGAACTTGGTGCTCATGGTCACAAATTGTTCTGGAGAACGTTCAGTCAGTAAACTGAAGTTCATTAAGAATAGACTCCGTACTACAATGTGTCATGATAGGCTCAGTCATCTGGCCTTGATGACAATGATGAGTATTGAATATGACATTCTCAGAGAGATTGACTTCGACAAATTGATCCAGGACTTTGCAAGGACC